TGGTAAACGCATGTTTGTCCAGCTGCTAAAAAACTACATTACTTGGAATTTTCTGGGTAATTTTAAACATTTTTCCATCACATTCACAACAAATACCAGCAGCACCAAAATATTATTTCTTCCTAAAACTTGATTACTTCCACCGTTTATCATATTTAATGTGCTCCGAGTCAACTGAGGTCGGCCGAGAGTTAAATGTTCTGCTGACCTGGTCGCCAACTTCCCCTGATTTTCCCTCTCAATTAGCGAGTCCACGTGGTTTCAGGGTCTCAACCTTTCTGATCAGCCGTTGCTCTGTGGCAGCAAAAAAACAACATACCAGCAGCTAATTTGTTTCCCTGTGAAAACTGAATGGGAGCCTATTTGGTGGGAAGACGTCCGGGTCGAATCCATTCCTGCGTGAAGAGTTCAGGTCACAGCTCGGACCTGAACCAGCAGCAGCAGCACGGCGTCTACAGGACCCTGTAAATCACTTACAGATGAACCGACGGGCTGGAATTTCTGCCTCGGGGTCGTCGATGCTTGTTTGTGTATTTGTCAGACGTGTCTCGCATCCGTCTTCGTTAGGAGGGAAGTCAAAACCCAGGAATTAGTCGGAGTCACAAGATTTCAGTCGTTTTTTTTTTATTCTGTCATGTTCTTGTTTTATCTCAAACAGATCACATGATCAGTTTGTGTGTTTCCATCGCTGTCTGACGTTTGAGTTCCTTTATTCTGCTGTGACAATAAAATCATTATGTGTGGATTTAAACCATATTAACACTTTCAACCAAACTTTATTAGTAGAACACCCTTCAAAAACAGAGATGCAAGGTGCACATGAGGTACAACGGGAATTTTAGGGAGAAATTAAAAACAAAACAAAAGAGAAAATAGATCTGAAACTTTTAGTCCGTCAACAGAAAATTAATCTGCAACTGTTTTGATAATAGTTTGAATGATTCCTCAAGCAGGAGTTGATGTTTTTTCTCTTAACATAACAGCTATGTGGAGGCCCCGGCTTTGTTTGTCAGAAATCTTAATGTGTGTTCACTGTTTTCTGACATTTTATAGATAAAATAATGCATTCATGAGTAAGAAAGTGCAAACGGCAGTTAAAATAATTGCTACTTGCAGCCCTAAATGTGTAAAAAATGGCAAGATCCGCTGCCATTTTTATGCACTTTATGACATTCTTGGCTAATATTTTGTGCTGTTCTTTAGTATTTTTAAAAGTAAAAGTATTTGTTTCCTTATAGACAGAATTATTCTGTATTTTCCAAGAAAAAAAAAAGGCCTGAAGCAGCACTTTCAGACCAGCGTGTGGTGCTGCAACTCTGCACCAGAACCAGCAATAAAACCGTGTAGTTTGCAGCTCCAGACTGTAAAAGATAAATTAAGGAAAGTCTATGAAATGATTAAAAAGAAAAAAGATACATGAGGAACAAAAATGGCATAAATAAACAACCTGATCGTATAATAGACGGTAATCAACATAATCATAGGGGCAAAAATATTGAAAAAAACGGCAGACACATAACATAATGCAGTGTAGCATTCTGGGAAATGTAGGAAACCAGCAACTGAGGTTGATGCATGAAAGGAGATAAACGAGATTCAGGAGAACCAACTCTAAATGTGAAAAATGTCCGACTGATGCTGTTTTTGTTTTAGGAGCTGATAGGACATGAGGATAATAATAATGTCAGTGTTTTGTCATTTTGTGATCTCAACTGATCTCTGTCTGGAGCTTTTTTATTCCGCTTCCTTTCCCTGAGTTGCTTTACTTGCATATCAGCATCCATCACATGCATTTCCTTCATTGAATCTCTGCATTTTTGCCACAAACCAACTCAAATTCTCAGATTTCTAAATTCAACAATCGAGCAGGCCGAACACGGGTCGATGTTCAGATGTTTTACAGCCTGTGAGCAGAGAATCGGCTCTTTGAATCCACACTTTACAACTTAATTAACACCAATGGAACGTGTTTGTCTTCACGTTATCATCTCGCCAAGTGCTGCAGGATCCGTCCGTCCGTCCACTCGCTCCATCCCGTTGTTTTGCAGCAGCAGAGGATGTTTGTTCTGCGACTGTGTGCTGAGTCAGCCTGAAGCTCTCTGAGCCGGAGGCTGCTTTTACTGCAGACTGATGTGTGTCTGCAGAGAAACACTAAACCTGCACCGACACACCGCAGCATCGATGCACTCACGCTGTCCCCAAACCTCCTGCTTCACCGTTACCAATGTGCAGAGTCATCACAGGTGGACGGATGGATGAGACATGCTTCCTATGACGTGTGTTGAAGTGGTCGTGTTAACAGTGGTCGTGTTAGCAGCAGTGGTTGTGTTAGCAGTGTTAGCTTGTGTTAGTGGTTGTTGCACGTGTTGCTCCTCCTTGGACGTGGCCACTCCCTGAATTCCAGCATCAGAGGCCTCTCGCCCACTAACATCGCCTGTAATTCTGTCACATTCTCTGGGGTGAACTCGAACCCACAAATGTGTACGAAGAGAAGGAAGAAGTACAGTAAAATACGTGCACTTTGCTGCTTTTTTAAACCCGTCCGTGCCTTGTTTTGTGTATTTGTGGAGTTTGCTGTTTTAATTAGGTTAACTAACAGGGACGGAGGGACAATTAAGCTTCAGTTCAGTCCTTTTATTCTTTGTATCTGTTCCGTTTTTCTCCTGTTTAACAATATTTATTCATGTAGTCATTCAACTAATGCATAAAAACTATATAAGTCAAGTCTGTGTAATGTACAAGTACACCGATTCTACACAGATATTTTTCTATTTTATCTTATATTGAGATTTTACATATGCAAGTATTTTCTTTTGCACACAGTGAACACTACATGTGACATTTTCTACAATTTTGCATGCTGCATATTTTGCATGTTACATATTACAAATATTGCTTCTGTACTCTGTCTTTAGTATGTTTTAGTATTTCCATGAATAGTTTATAGTGTGTATAGTGATTTTCTGCAAAGGATCAATAACTTATCTGTCCATCTATTGATCCATCCATCCCCAGAAGTGCAGCGTTTACTTATAATTCGTCCGAGGCGGCCCAGAGTTTATTGGTGTTTTTTTGTGCACTAAGGACACTTGTTGCAGAGATGTGTTCAGGTCCAAGTCAGAGGAAATGGTATTTTTATTTGATTGCTTCTGTTTTAAGAGACGTTTCCGCTCCTCTGACTTTATCTGACAACATGAGTTACTGCTGCTGCTCTAAAGTTGAGCTTTTTGAATTTTAGGATTTACGACTAAACTGTTTACATCTTGAACGCTGCAACGGCGAGTTCCTGCAGCGCAAAGCTGCTTAACGTTAACACTCCACTGATTTAATTCTGCTGGTTTCCTTTTCTGAAGTACATCTGATTATATTTCTTTTATTTCTATAATATGATATTGAATTTTTGGATTGAAATACGTTTTTTCCACCAGTATTGATCTTTAATGCTGCTGATGGATCTTCAGAAGGTAAATTATTTAACTCAACACCTTCCATGACTGACACGGTTTCTCGTTTCATTCTTGCAAACCTTAGTACTCTAGTATCAACAACAACAATAAATAAACAAATAAATACAGCTTAAAATTATAACAACTTCTAATGAAATTATCTTGAGCCAATGATCTAATTTGATTTGAGAAATAAGTCTTTCCTTGACAAACAAAAGTATTTTTAATTACCATTTACTTATTAACTGAAACAATAATCACAAGTTTATAAGTTTTTTTTTCTTATAAAACTATTTTTTAAAAGGAATTTTTAAGTGTCATTAGGAAGTACCACAATCATCAGTTTTTAAGTTGACAACTGTTTAAAAAAATAAGTTTCCTCAATTGGGTTTTCTTCGGCAGACTATTAAAAAAAACTTGATTAATCATGTAATAAATTCTTTTGCCAGGTGTTGCTCAGAAAATAAAATGACATAACATTAAATAATGCAAGTAGAAAAGCAATAAGAGACGAAAATCTAAAAATAAAAAGTCATAAGTACGACTGACAGTGACTCTGAGGTAGTAAAGAAGAGCAACTGGCTGGTGTGTTTTTGTTCACGTCGCTTGTAGGAAATTATTTAATTTGACAAAAAAATGATTAATTGATTTAGTTTATAAACCCGCTCAACAGAGTGAGTTTTTACAGACATTTTTAGATCAAGGAGTCACTCACGGCGAAAGAAAATGAGGTCATCAAGACAAAATGAGTTAAAATTACTCACAATAACAAGCTGATGGAATAACCAACATTATTACCTCAACACAGCTCATCCAAATGTGGTTTGCAACTTGAAACACTCTCCTTAAATCAATAAATTAGACTCCTTTTTTTTTTTTCCAGTTGTGAGAGCAGGTACCTGAACTGACCCTCTGGTTCGTGTTGTATTGACGACGCAGCCTTTGCGAGGATCAGGTCGCCTGAACACGACACCGTCTTTAGTGATGAAGCTGCAGAAGCCTCAGACCACAGCATCAACAAACACCGCTCAACATCTTCTCTGAATGTGCACCGTCATGCCCGGGCATCAACAAAACATCTGCTCTTTTGCCAGACGGCCACCTGAGGGCGCTCTTTGCTTCCTTTTGCCCTATTTGGAAACCCATGTGGTGGGAATTGTTGCCCTCAGTCATGTCTGCCAGGGTAAAAACTGCCTTTAATACACTCTATGCTCTAATTTATGCATGTTTAAGATTCACAGTGTGGTTTGGTAGATAAAGGAGGGTTTTGGAAAAGCCTACGAGGACTTTTTTTGCCTTTGAGACAATGCTCAGGGCAAAAATTCGAACCCTGTGGCAGGAAAACAGTCCACAAACCACATGCAGTCGGTCATGTATTGACTAATACCTCCTTGTGTGTGCGTGGCTGCTGTGCAGGTCAACACAAAATGCCTGCATGATACTTTCATGATCAGTTTAATCTGCATGCGATGTTTGTGTCTTTGACCCAAAAAAAACAACAACCAGGTCTGTGCGGTGTTGCGTAATGAGAGAAGAAGGACTCACACAAAGCAGTTTGGGTATTTTTTTTTTCTGTATTATTGGATAAAATCTATAAAATATTCCACGAAAAAAATACAATGAATTATCATGTCATTACCCAGCAAACACATCCTTCAGTTACACTTAATCAACAACATACAGCTTGTGCTTTTAAAGACCCTCCTGACACGCTCATACAATTATAAATAACAACCTCCTGCTTCGTTGTGTTCAGTCCTGCACATTACAGATTTACATAAGTGAAAATAGAAAACAGAAAAAGTGGTTTTGTTTCACAGGCTGAAACTGATTGTGTGTCTGCGCAAAACAAGTTGTTGTCGGAGCAGCGGTGTGCTACTCGCAGGTCTCGTGCGATTGGTCGGTGGTCTGAGTCTGAGCAAAAACAAGCTGCAAACTCCTCCTCCTGAACAAGTGACGCAAACCGCTTCCTCCCACCCTCCTCCTCCTCCTCCTCGTCCTCCTCCTCCTCTTATTTTTCCCTCCCGGCCCTCGCTGCCACCTCCTCCCTCAGCTAGTTCGCTGTCAGCCTGTCAGGATACATTAAGCTCATATGGCTGCAGTGTTCGGCGAGCGCAGGCAGAAAAAAAAAAGGCCAAGAGGAGGAAAGAAACGGTGACAGTCGTGGCTTTTCGGGCGCTTTTACGTAACACCTCGCAGTAGCTCGTTTCATCAATGAAGCTCCACAAAAAAACGTCAGACTCAGTAGTAAGGCACGTCGTCAGCAAGAGATGAGGACGGATCGCTTTGGTCGGACAGGAAAGCGTTAAAAAAATGCTTGTTTCTATCTGTACATGGCTCACAGTGTAAAAAAAACAGGAGTGTCCAGGTAAACTAACAACAACAACCAGGAGGTAGAAACGGGAGTAAACCGCAAACGAGCGAAGGTCGAGCGTGCAATTCGAGTCTCGTGTACAAACGCCTACAAAACCCGCTATAAAACGTCCCGACGTGGCGATAAAAACTCATAAAAACACACAGGCTTCTGTTGTCGTTTACAATTTTGAGACACGGCTCGACTCGAGGCGATCAGCTCCTCGGCCACATTGCGTTGCTGTTTTTAAAATACATATTTCACGCTGCGTCCGATTTATTAACACAAGCTGCCGATAAGAGGGGGAAAAACAAAAAAGGTTAATTCTTCTTCAGGCGTCAACTGTTTGCAGGTCAAAGGTCGTAAAGAAACTAAATTATAAGTTACACTCACACCCGAGCAGTCGGCTCCACAGAACATCTGCTTCTGCTTGATTTTTCATTCATAAATAAGAATAATATTAGACAAAAAGCGACATTTCAGCCTTTTCCCCCCCAACGTCCTCCTCACAAACAACCAAATAAACACAAAGACAGACAGCCAGACTTCCACCTGATGTCAGTTTCAGTTTGAAGGAGCCGTTCGGTCCCGGCGCTGAAAGCAAAGCCGGGCCTGCTGCCCTCCCGGCTGCCTGCTGAAGTACGCCCTCTTAAGTAATTGAAGGGATTTCAATTAATAATCAACCCGGGACTGATCCAACAGGCCGAGTGACGCACAAACTACGGCGGCTCAGGTTGCTTCTTCCTCAGAGCTGCTGCTGCTGCTTTCACTCCGACTCAAGAGAGAAAAGTGACACAAACACTTCGAGGTTCGGAGATTTAAGGTTCCACAGTTTCACCAAATTACCCTGAAACGCCGTTCCACGTGTCGACGGCGTCGGTCGGTGCGACGCTACCCGTGACAGCGTCTCTCACACGTGTTGCAGTAAAGTTTTGGCGTGTCGCATCACGTCCCATCTCGCCCGACTGCTGATTAATCACCGGCGACTCATCACACAACCAGTTCTAAAGCCGACGACCTACCTGGTGTGTTTTTAACAACCTGCGAGAGGAGAAATGAGAATTTCTGCTCGTGGAGTCGCAGTTTAAATTCGCAAATATACGACTTTGTTCATTGTTTTGTCAGAAAAGGGAGATTTCTTCACTTGCTAATTTTGTTTTTGAGTCCAAAAGTCAACTTAAAAAGAGAATAGTGACAGAGAAAAGCGTCAAATTCTTCACTTTTTTTTTTTTTGTGCATTTTTGTTTTGGAAGCTAAATGACTAATCAAGGATCAAACTGAATGATGAACTATGAATCAGTTAATTCTGTCTGATGTGCACGTGGAGCTGCAGCTTAAAGCAGGAAAGACTTTCTTTAATTAAGCCGTCACTTGCTTTGTTCGTCGTTTTGTCGATAAAACGTCAGAAAAAAGGAGATGTTTTGCTAATTTTGTTTCCAAAAATGAGAACAGCAGCCACAAAAGTCAGCAAATTCTCCATTTTTTCTTTGCAAGTTGCATAACGACTGAATAATTTATCAAAAGTAATGATGAATAATCGCCCCTCAGTCGACTGAACTGTTAATCAGCTCACTGAAGTGTCTCAGTGGATGTTTTTCTAACGTTATGAGATGATTGTCTGCCATCATAAGTGTTTCATGTCTAATTCGAGGCGCATTAGTGGTTCCTGTTTAAACCAAACTTATCAGATGGAACCTTAAAAATCCGACCTCAAGTCAGAGTTGGTCAGCAGAGCAGCTCTTCGGTTCACCGAGTGTGCAACAAGTTCAGGAGTCCGTCTCTGGGATCAGGATTTCACCAGAATCTCCATGATGTGGTCCAGTTCGTTCAGGTCCATGAGACACGACTGCAGGCTGCCGGCTGACGAGTGGCTCGCAGGTCGCAGCTTGGCGTCCTCATCGGGCCACAGCGACACGCTGAGCGGCCACAGAGAGCCGGCCGCCCAGGCAGAAGGCAGGTCCGACGTCTCGTACATCGACGTGTCAATGTCCTCGAAGATATCGTCCAGGGCGAGGTCGCCCAGGTAGCCCACAGCGCCCACCGCATCGCTAAAAGTACTGATGGTGGCGGCAGGCAGAGATTTCTGCTGGTCGGAGCTGTTCTCCTCCTGAGACGGGAGTTCTGGGGACGCCGGCGGACTTTCCCCGTCTCCCTCTGTGCAGCCGGGACACGTCAGCGGCATGTCCTCCCTGAAGTCGTCCCTGAGCAGGCAGGAGTCGGGGTGGACGCCGCCAAGGAGGACGTCCGGGTCGCAGCTCCCGGCGCCATCACTGCGCATCTCCTCTTGGATCTGCCGCAGCGTGTTGATGAGCAGCACCGAGCGCCGCAGGCTGAGCTCCATCCCCACCTGGTAGCGCTGCAGCTTCTCCAAGCAGAGGCCCAGGACCAGCTGGCGCTGCTGCAGCCGGCTCATGTCGGACCTGGACGGGCCCAGGAGTCCGTCCTCGCCGTCCTCCTCCTCATTCTGCTGCTTGTCCTCCGTCACGGCAGCCTCGGGGACGACCTCGGCCTCCTCCAGGCAGCTCCACTTCCGCTTCACACCTCGACCCAACATTGACCTGATCAGAGGACGAAGGAATCACAGAGTGAGCATGTGACCCGTATGAGGAGTCTGGAGCAGAGCAGCTTAGCTCAATATCTGTACACTTTAATGACAAAAACACTATGAATTCTGCAAAAATATAGTCATGTCAGGTTGGAAAATGGTCTCAAATAGGCAGACAGGCTGGTTTACTGGGATTTAAACATATTTTACAGCCTTTAATGATGAAAAACAAAACCATTCATCTAAATATTAAGTTTTGCTGTTTGGCTGAGTGTAAAATCAAAATGACAGAAGCTGCAGTTTTATGATAAAAGGCAAAATGTGTCACAATATATTCATATAAATACAGAGATGCCTTTTAGAAAATGCTTGTTACAGCAAAAAACATCATTTTTAATTAGTTTTTGTAGAAAAAAAACACAAAAATGTGTATTTTTGCATTGTTTTCTTAATAATTCCTTATTTTTTTAGATTTTGAACATATAATATGTCTGAATTTCATCTCATGGACTGTTGGGAGACCAGCATTAGCACAGAAACATTTAAATAACCAATAATCACAGTCAGTTTGCAGACAAGTTGAACTGATTAACTTCAATCTCTAAACTCACTTCTTCCTCATCTTTTTCTTTAACTGAGACAAATTACAAATGAGAAGACATGAAGCCCCCTTTCTGGTGGGAGTTCGACCCCCATCTGAGCTGCTTCATCTCGTTTAACACTCTCATGAACCCCTGAGCAAAGTGAAAGCTAGAAAAAACCAAACTTATTCCCCTCAATTAGCTCAGTTTACCCTCATAAATATCAAAGCTACAGCAATAAGAGGCTCTTTTTTAACTACGACTGCACATATTTTCATGATGAATTACACATCTATGCATTGTTTTCTTAATAATTCCTTATTTTTTTATATTTTGAACATATAATATGTCTGAATTTTGTCACATGGGCTGTTGGGAGACCAGCATTAGCACAAAAACACATTCAAATAACCAATAATCAGTCATTTTGCAGACGAGTTCCTCCACTTCTTCCTCAACTTTCTTTCGAAACATAGCCCAGGTGATTGTGTCTCCTCGGCTGCACTACAGTGTAATAAAGCGTGCATCCAGTTTATGTAAGAGCCTCCACTCGGGCCAGTCATCGCTTCACTTTCGGCTCCGGAGCTGCTCAGAACGCCAGAACCGCAGCTGCTGCACACCAGCACCGAGGGATCTGAGCAAGTTCACACTGTGGACGTGTGAGTTTCTACCATTTTAAAAGGGTTTCAGAGGGAACATTTGAACTGCCATGAGTCACCGGCAGACACCTCTGCAGGCTGCCAGACTTTACTCATCCTCACAGACCTGCTCAGCCACCAGAGCTGCTCCACAAAGGTTCCCACAAATCACAAACCAGAAGACATGAAGCCCCCTTTTCTGGTGGGAGTTTGACCCCCATCTGAGCTGCTTCTTCTCGTTTAACACACTCATGAACCCCTGAGCAAAGTGAAAGCTACCAAAAACTAAACTTATTCCCCTCTATGAGCTCAGTTTACCCTCATAAATAAGGTTTTATTCTCACTCTCACTACTTCTGGTGCCCAGGACCCCCAGAGATCACCCCTCACCCCACTTCACTGCCCACCAGCTCCGTTTAAAGCCGCTTTAAAAGGGAGAACTTCGGGCGAATAACGACGGAAGAGGCCAAAAAACAACAACCTTACGCGTCCTTGGAGAGTGTCATGAGCTGCGCGGATCCGTCGTCGTGTCTTCGGCTCGGTGTCGCTCCGTCGCTGCGTTCCTGCGCTGCGGAGCCCCGGAGTGGAGAGGAATGTTCGGTCGGTCCACGGAGGAGGAGGTGGTGGTGGAGGAGGAGGAGGAGGCAGAGCACCGAGCACCGAGGACCGGGGGNGGAGGAGGCAGAGCACCGAGCACCGAGGACCGGGGGGGTGGGCGGGGAGCTCCGAAGCGCACGGCCGGAGCGCATTGGCCCGCCGAGCCGCCCGTCCGGCCTCCGCCTCCGCCTCTCACGGGGCAGCGAATGTGCGGCGGCTGCGTTCAGGAACGGCTCGGAAAAGCCGGCAGCCACCACGGGGAACACGTGAACGCAGAGCTGGGTCGATATGAGGCCCGAAAATGAGGTTTAATAATTAACAAGACGAGCTTCGCGTTAATTACTGCTCGTGTTTAGAGGGAAACTGACAACCTTTTGCTGGTGGATGAAGCATTCAGGGGCTGAAAACTGGTGCAAAACCTGAAAGGAACACTGCTGCAGAGGAAAGTCCTGCAGGATTACTGAAGCAACAGTGTGATTGTAGCAGCAATGGGTCAAATTTGATCCGTTTTGACATTTGATGGCAGTGAAAACACCCTAAACGTAATGTATTTAGCCCGAAATCTGGTGACTTCTCCTAAAGTGACTCAAAATATCTTAAAATGTTATTCTTCTGTACAGGTGCTACACATTTTTGTACTCTGAGGCTCAAATTTCAGGTCACATTTGGTGGTTTTAGTGAATCTAGAAACTGTACAGGCTATTTTGTTTACTTCTATTATTATGAAACAGATTAGAAACAGATCTGTAGCTTAAAATGTGGTGTAGATGCTTATTGTGAGGGGATTCTTGACAGTATTACTGTGAAGACACAAAATACGAACAGCATATCAGGGTTAAAACTTGGTACATTCACTCAAGTAAGCAAAATTTTGAGGTGACTTCCTTGAATATGTCCGTTTCCGATATTCAAGTCAAAATAATAACAGCAAAATGCGCCCAGAGTTTGCAAAATTGGTCAAATTTGACCCGTTTTGACATTCGACAGCAGTAAAAACATGCTAAATGTCATCCTTTTAGCCTGAAATTGAATGACTTTTCCTACAGTGACTCAAAATACACTGAAAATATCCTAAAATGTTATACTTTTGCACAGGTGCTCCATGTTTTTTTACTCTGAGGCCCAAATTGAAGGTCAAATTTAACCGAAAATGGTTGTTTTAGGTCATTTTGACACTGTGAAAGTGTACAGGTCATGTTCTCTGTGTATTTATTAATGTGACATCAGCTATTTAGACGTTCTAAATAGATCTGTAGTTTGAAATTAGGTACAGACACTTACTGAGAGAGAACTTGTAACAGGAATTCCTGGTTGGGGTCAAAATGTCAGGGTTAAAGCTTGGCACATTTACTCAAGCAAACACAATTTTGAGGTGACTTACATGAATACTTCCATTTCCAATATTCAAGTCAAGTCAGAATCAACTGTGTCATTAATTCTGCCGTATGTGCAGGACAGAGACGGGATTTCTGTCAGTCCTCGGTGCAAACATGCAAGTCGCAGTAGAAAAACAAAAAAACTCTTAGACACAAGTGATGCAACGGCTCGTGCAACAGTGTGAAGTATTCCACCAGCATGCATGTGATCTTGACACTAGATTAAAAAGCGCCCAACACTGGTGAAAAGTACATTTACTCAAGTACTGTACTCAAGTATTCTGGTAGTTTTGACAAATACTGCACACATTTTATACTTTTCTGCAACTTTATTTGTTAAAAATCCATAAAATTAGCAGTAAAACATCCTCAAAGTTTGCATGTAAATTTGATTTAAAAGCACTCAGCCCTGGTGGAAAGTACAGTTACTCAAGTATTGCATTTAAGTACAATTCTGAGCTAATTTACTTGAATATTTCCTCTAAGGTAAGTATGGTACTTTAGGCTCAACTACATTCATTAGACAGCTTTAGTTACTTTGCAGATTTACTTCAATGACACCAAAGTATCCAGAGTGTTGGAAAGTAACTAAGTACAAATACTCAAGTGCAGTACTTAAGTACAGCTTGATTTGGCAAACAGTATAGTTTCAACTCCACTCCAGTCATGATATCAAATATTAGTGGTGGATATCTTCGAGAACTTACTCGTTACTTTGCAGATTCAGTTTAAAATATAAACAACAAGCAGAATTCTGATATAATTTTATAGAATAATAAAAACTTTATTGGTCCCAAAGTTTGGAATTTACAAGCCAAGCCTCCACAGGAAAGTCAAATATCCTTTTCAGCATTTTTTCGGCAGATTTATCTTTTGTTTTTTCACATTTGTGGCGTTTTGGGTCGTCGTGCTTCACCGGCCTGAGCTCACTGTCTGGGCTAGAGTATCTGGTGTTAGTCGTCTGTTTAATTTGCCTGCTGCTTGCTTCACTCTAGTGCAGTGTAGAGTTGCATCGAAGCTATTTTAAGGCAAGAAGGGGTCATTTTCGTGGAAAAAAAACCTTGTAAATATGCAGCTTTTATCCACAAAGATGAGTTTTTAGGAGTTACATCAACAACCACAGGGCAACTTTAAGGGTTTCATCCTGTTAACGTTTGATGCTTGGGATTTATCGTTGTTCCAATGGCCAGTTTAATATCCATTAATGTGCATTGTTCTTGAAAAGAGTAGATAAAAAAAATACTTTGATAAGGAGAAGATGTTACAAGAGACATGAAACTGCAAACATTAAGTATGTCATTATCAGCAAAACGTGCTCAAAGTTCACATGTATTTACGATTAAAACACATCCAGTGCTTTTACTTTGCTTCAGTTTTGACGTACGTGTAATTTACTTGAAATAAAATCAGCAAATTTGTTGTCGCTGGTGCATTTACAGTAATTATTAGTGTGCATTATCCTTGAAAAAAGCAATAAAAATTAGTGTGTTTAAAGTGTGAACAAGAAGAAGAATGAAGAAATAAAACTGGAAAAGTCACATTTAAAGTACAAGAGCTCAGCACTGTACTGGAGTAGATGCACTTTCTTTGAAAAAGTTAAATAAAAACCTCAACGTAAACCAGTCTGCCTTCTCTGTGGAGTGAAAGAACAGCCTAAAAGTGACATTTTACACACTGTCGGTGGAAATATTTTGAGTTTGCAGGATTAAAAGACCTCAGGATAATACACATCTCAGGTTTTCGAAACAATTCGTCTTTTTCAGACAACTTCGTCCACTGAAAAGCAGATTTATGATGGAAAATTAACTGTAAACAATCCCTATTTTGAGTTAAAATCCAATAATACAGTTAATAGTTAATTGAGCACCAGTGTTCCCAGTAAGACGAGACACTAAGGAGGCAGAGAAAATCCTGATTTGTTGTTTTCTACATGTTTCTGGCTCCTTTTACAAACATAACATGCAAATCTGAATAAAACAGACCAACTAGAAGACACAGAAATACCAAAAGCATTTCAGTATTATAGTAGAGCTGAAGCTACGTCTCAGTGTTAGAAGTCTCTAGAAGGCCTGGAGCGCTGCGGTGAGCACCTGAACGCAGCGTTTTAAAGGGACAGATGACTCAGGAGAGGAAGGACGTGACCGGAAAGGCAGGAAAGGCAAACGCCAAATAAGGAGACTCTTGATTCACGTTTTTTCCGTCTCGTCCTGCCGAAGCCGCTACAGCAGCAGCCACCAGCTTCCACTTCTTCTTTTCTCGGCTTCTCCTCTCCGAACAGAAAGCAAACACAACATCGCCGCTTTCATCGTCATCTGACCTACATTTGGAGTGTTTCAGTGACCAGAGAAACAGCAGAATTAACCCTAAAATGACACTGAGGTGGTGATTGTGCAGCATTCAACAGATCTGTTAGGGGCAAAGTAGCAGTTTGAACAGGAGCTCGTCTTTTTAGGGGCTTTTTATTGGGATTATTAAGGATTAGTTATTGTTTTAGTTGTCAGATCTGAGATGTTTTTAATAGATTTCATAGAGATTGACCTAATTAACCTGTTAAACACTGACAGGCAGGTTTTTTTTTAACTACAAAGAGGATTTTTTGTCAGCCTCAGAGAGTTTTTTTAGCAGCAAAAATGACAAAAACTGAGAATAAGAAGAAGAAGAATTAGATTTTTAAGCCAGTTTTGTTAACTGGGTTTCACAAAAGAGTTCTTCGGCACCACCAAAGACAGCTGAACCAGCACAACAATGACAGGAACTGAGACTAAAAATATGAATTAGATTTTTTTTAAACCAGTTTTACTAACTGGGTTTTCATTTAGTCAAGCTTGAAGGAGCTTCATGTGCCTCCAAAGAGGTTTTATCCTGCTCCAAAATGCTAACAACTGAGAATAATAAGAATAAAGCTTCACTTTTGTGACTAGCTTTGATTAATTAGTCAAGTATTAATTCATTAAATGGTTAGAAATTACACTAAAGCTCCGCTCTGAGCAGGAAAAACCCTGTTTGAGTTCCATTATTCACACCTAAATCCCAAATATTGACCTGAATTTGTGGTAACTTGTCCTGACTTGTGCGAGGAACCTGAAGGCAGCACAAGACCTGCAGCCTGTTAAGTTTTAAAGTAGTTCAGCTCTGAGACTATTATAAACATGATATGTGGCGTTAAAGGTCACACGAGCTGCTCGCCGCTTCTTATCATCACATGGTGCAAACTTTAGATCCTCTGAAATAAAAAGAGAAGAAAAAACCTGCATCGTTTTCTCTCTTGCTGCTTTTTGAGACAGTCTCCTTTTTCCTGCGATGACTCGGTTTTTCCTCGGGCTGCCTTTTTGCTGACTCACCGAGAGGCCATTAATCTTTAACTATAGGCTAACCACGTCTAGGCAGCGGGCCAGTGTGCCAAGTAAGCTAGAATTTTATGAACAAAATACCTTTTGTCAGTTTCAGACAGGACTTTAAAACAATCCGCTGCAGCCACTGCGCGTTTCAGAAGACGTGTCGCTGCAGCCGAGCGACTCGCTTGACCCGTAAGATAACGGTCGTGTCGCGTCGAGTCCGTCGTGGGCCTCGTCATGTGAGAGCACGAGAGGACAAAGTGCAGCCGGGTCACAGTTAACTCAATTTGAGCGTTTTAAGCTTCTTAATTTGAGGAAATGTCCACATTAAACTGTTTTTGTTGTAGCAGTGCTCTCTGTCCAGGAAGGCTTTATCTGATTTTAGCAGATCCTGAGTGGAAGAGCATCCAGGAAGCAAGCTCTGCATGAATTGAGCTTTGTTCAGTTTTTTTTTTTTTTTTTTTTTTTTGCACCGATGCAGGTTGAGATAATGTTTAACGGCGTCCAATAAACTTCGAGTATCCTCAGCTGATTGGATATTTTCTAATTGATGCAGGTTGTACTGCAGAAGCTGTAATTTATGAATTTAAAAATGGAAAAATAGGAGTATACGCATATTTAAAGATACTAGTACAAGTCCTGCAGGTAATCCTAACGTCATAAACGCTACAGGTTTTTGTTCAAACTGTTGATCCTGATCATGTTTTAATAACAAAATCATCTCTAAAACAGTTTCAACAAAGACTGAACAAAATGTTATTCATAAATTTACAAATTCCTGCAGGATTTTATTCGTTTTCGCTGCTTGTACCTGTTTAAAACCTGGTTTGTTCACTTAGAAACAATTTCCAACCCATTTTTGTTCACCAATTATTCATACTCACTCATAAATGTGAACAAGAAGCAACAATCAAATAAGTCTGAATGTAAAAAACAAACACATAAAACTCACCCGACAATCACAGATCCGCTTAAAATCTGTAAATGAAAATACAGTTCAATTCCTCGCAGAGCGGAAAATGAGTGAAACAGCCACATCACCTCATCAATAGTTGCACCTTTTATTATAAAAAATATTTACAAAGATGCTACAATGTTTTTTTGTTTTTTTTTAATATAAAAAAATGCATACATTTTACAACGATAATTAGTCTTTGAAGATCTAGCTCCCATTCAGACCAGAGTGACATCCTTCAGGAGTGTTGTGGTAAGGTATTAAGCGTGTCGTAATACTGTATTTTAGTCAATACATCTTGTTTGCCTGAGTTAATCTCTTCATCACGATGATAAGCGACAATTTTTTCTTTTTTTTTTCGTTTTTCTTTTTTGAAAAATGCATTTGATTTTGCACATATTTAGGAGAAAAAGGCAACTGTTTGCATAAAGGAATTAAAGGACTTTTGAGCTGTATACAGTCATTTTGAAACACGTATGACAGAGCTGCATAGTAAATTTGAATAGTAACCCGGTTGTTATTATTATTATTATTACTAATAATTATTTGAAGAGGAAAAAAAAAAAATTAGGAATAAATAGGTACTGCATTCAAAACCGAGGGCAAAATTTGGATAAATATAATTTCACCGGGCCTCATGGTTGAATTGATAAGTCAATATGGCAATGTCTGTACCTAGATACAATAAATACAATAAATAAAACAACAATAAATTAGATGGGTTAACACACAGAGTTCTACATTTGCGCTGACAAATGTGAGAAAGAAATATGGCTTCTTGATGCAGTTATCACCCCGGGGTTTCTCCAAATGCTTCAGGAAAAAGCTGCTTATTATTGTTATTGGATCTGTACTGAAAGCAGAGCAGGGGAGTGACCTGTTCGGTCCGCCGGCCACCAGAAAAAAAAAACACTAGTCCGGAGCCACGTTCGGTTGGCGGGCCAGCAGCCACTTCCCTGCCCTGCGTAAAGCTTTTAAGAAAAATGAAAGAACAGTGCCTAGAAAGAGCGACGATGCCGGTCACCTGTTACAGTCGACTTGTTATACCAAACCATGGGAAGACACTGTCTCGAGTCTGGCTACATTAAAATCTTAAAAACCGCTTGGGAGGGAAAAAATAATAATAATAATATCAAATGATGCTTGCAAAATCCCCCAGCTGTATAATGCAAAAAATATATTTCTATATACACATACGTACATATACATATATTCCATTCATATTTGCTCAAATCTCTAGGAAAATATGCATTGATTCATAGATTTGGATTTACAATTTGTTCTGGTTTCTGATGCATGTAGTGTGATGAATTGTTCCTCGGTCCATGTAACAATAAATAGAAATGGACAAACCGACAGAATGACCAGAAGGAGCTAGTAAGACAGAATGTATGACAGACGTAAACATGGAAAGTACGTAAATAAGAATGCATCATGGTATAAGGTAATTATCTTTGCCTTTCTCACAGATATTGTCGAGTTTTGGAATTCAGCAACAAAGCAGGAAACTAACCGCGCTGCCCGCGGGCCAGGGCGGCCGGCGAATCCCCAAATTCATCAATTTTACAATCATAACTTTAACTGCCAATTACACGTTTGAATAAAAGATTAAAGTCCCAACGACTGCAGCTGCCAACTCGCCCGCGTGGCCGTTAGAGGAGGCGAACTACGTCTCTAACAGCCGATCCCCAACAGCTACTTGGCTCGCTGTTAATTTCCCATCTTGTTCCAAAACCGCCAACAATCTCCGTGTGTAACAACACCACATACAGAACATGCACATGTGTACTGTGCATAGTCTGGGAAGAGTCTGTGGGATCAGTACAGGCCAGAGGAATGTTCTGAGTTTCAGGATCCCACTATGATCTCCATGATGTGGTCCAGTTCGTTCAGGTCTGACCTGCAGCTTGAGCTGGAGCTCAGGGCGGTGGGCCCGTGAGAGGACAGGCTCTCCAGCAGGTCGTAAGGCCCCATTTTGGGGGTGCTCTGCATGCCTGTCAGCACCGTGTCAAGGTCATAGTAGGACGGGTCCACGTCTGAAAACAGTTCCTCCAGTGCAGGGTCAGGGGGCGGCGCCGGGTGCTTGATCTCAAAAGTCCCAAAAACCTGCTCCCCTGTCCTGGAGTCTGCGCTTAGGTGGTCCCGGTCCGCCTCCTCGCCCTCCGACACACACTCCTCGCTGTCCTCCTCTTCGTCCTCCTCGCACTCGCCGTCTTCCTCCTCCTCCTCCCAGCAGGGCCCCATGCCAAAGGGCCCCGCCAGGTAGGAGGCCGAGGACAGCTGGGGGGAGACGGGGGACAAAGTGGACATGGTGACCTCTGTCTCCACGTCTCCCTCCATCACCACCTCCTCCGCGTGGTAGCCTTCCTCCAGGCCGACCACCGAGAAGGGCTTCGGGCTCTGCCCGGCCTGAGCTGCAGCGTCAGTCTGCCTGCACAGCACCTCGGTGGCCACCAGGCGGTCGGCCGGACACTGGGCGGCTGCCAGGGCCTGGGTCATGATCTGCCAGGTGCCGTCCTGGGTCATCTCCTCCTGGATCTGCCGCACCGTGTTGGCGATGAGCACCGAACGGCACAGGTTGGGCTCCACCAGCATGTGGCAAAGCTGCAGCTTGATCAGCGACATGTCAAGCAGCGACTGCCGCTGCAGACTGTAAGAGGACGACAGCGTCCGAGCTGCCGCAGACGGAGCTGCAGGGCCCTGGTCGCCACCGGAGGCCGGCTCCTCCCCGGAGTCTGAAAACTTGCGCTTGGTGCCCTTCGGGAACATGTTGTCTCTCTGTGGTGATTGCGAGGAGACAGAAACACAGTGAGACACACAATGGCAGCACTTGTCTGAGAATCAACAAATTTATCACACTGACAAACACAAAATGTCTACTGTTCTGCATTTGACTAGCTAACATAGTGAACAGAATAAGTGCCATGTAATTACTGGTGTACATGTGTGATGTGATGAGGCTATGTGGTGGAGCATTTGAGTGGATATGAGGGAGCTACAGCTACAATCTGCTGGACAGCAGCTTATAAATAAACTACAGGCTTAAGCTGAACTACAGTAAACAGTAAATTGTTTGTTGTAGTTGTTTTTTTCTTAAAGTTTGCTATACCTTTCCTGTTGAGAGGCACAGGCAATAGCAATGCAGCGTGGTCCCGGCTGCAACGCTTCAAGTACTTTTGTACGAGCGACAAGCAGCTTTTGTTCAGCACCATTTCTGCCCATTTTAGGCCAGTCTGAGGCAAGACTCCTGCTGGGCGGAACAACCACACTTTTAACAGACCACTGAGCCACCGAAAATAGCATGGTTACCAACTAAATGCGGACGCTGCATCAAAGTAAGCACAGACTACACAGACCTTTGTCAGAAAACAAAAACAGCACTCAAGTTACATGATCAGTGCACTTATATTTTTCCCCACTGCCACCTGTGATCAAGAAAATCAGAAGGATATCCTAATCAATAAGGTGCTTTTAAGGGGTAAAAGTGACAGGAATATGAAAAATAAGAGCATTTACAAATTCACAGTACAATGAACCACCATGAGCCGCTAATATTTACAAGGGATATCAGGTTTCCAGGTCTACACACGCGACGCTTCAAAAACTAGTTGAACAAGATTTGCACTTTCTCTTCACTGAGGAGGGGAAGAAAAATGGAGTCAACTTCCTTATTAAACACCAACTTCAACACACATGTCTTAGAGGAACAAAACAACACTCCTGCCAACGTTAAAGGCCCTCTGACTTCCCAAAATAAATGGGATGCAAGTAAACAGGGAGACCGAGCTCTGAACGGCAGCCTGTGGCGTTTATTTCCCATCAGACAGTAAAACAGTGCGCAGCGTCCGGCTGTGTCTCCTCAGTGTTAAACCTGTGGGCAGGGCATTGGGGTGAATGATTTCACTTCCTTCAAATTTCTATTTGTGATACATTTCTTTACAAATAATCACAAAAAAAGGTAAAAATAAATAAATAAATCAGTGTTACAGTGAGAATAATACTGACACAGCATTGGGGTTTACAGAACACAAATCAAACAGCAGTGAGTTGATAAGTTTTACAGAACCTGCCCGCTAAATGCTCTGAACACTGCTGTCACAATTCATCTCCCTGCACCAAAAAAAAAATCATGAAAAAAAGCAGAACTTGTGTTTCTTTAAATGTTCATTTTGGGATGCCAGGCCAAACTGAGGCCCTATAATCTGTGCAAATGACATACCATCTTCAAATTAACACATTGTGCACTCGAGAGTGTTGTGCGAAAACCTTACAGGCAAAAGGCTGGGATGACAGAAACACCTCATGATGCAACGTTAAAGCAGCACACAATCAAACATGAAATCAAAGAAGTGATGAATTGATTGTAGACTTTTATTTCACTGTTAATAAGTGGGAGGGGGGGGGGTCGTGTTCACACATTACATCCCAACATAATGAGAGAAAAGTCTTCCACCGATCACATGAGTGAAACTAAATCAGCACCACATTGTTTTTTTTTAAAAAAAAAAAAGTTAAAATCCACACCACAAATAGAAGTGGCTCTAACTGGAGGTCTCTGAGTCCTCGCTTGCATAGAATAGCGTTTCCTGACAGTGGACAGAATAGAGGGGGGGAAAAAAGTCATTTATGAAGGTGCCCGGAGATCTAAAAAATACAAAGGGTGAGAAAACAATTATGGACGTGTGCTGTCTTCTCGTGTGGTGCGTTTTTTGCTGGCCCCTGTTAAACAAGAGACACTAGAGAGCACTACGTCCGTCAGGGAGAAACAACAGCAGTGCGTACATAAATGAAAATAGAAAATGAAATACAACCAGGAAGACCTACAACCTGAGAGAAAGTACGCTGCACAGAGAAGAGAAAACAGTGTTGGACATGACAGAATTCTTTGTTGTTGTTGTTTGTTTTGTTTTTTTACATGTAAACTGATGAATGTTTTTGAACACCCGATAGTTTAGCATTTTGAGGTTAAATCTCAAGGATGCTACTGGGGAATAAATTTAATTCTAAATATTGGAAAGTCAATATTTGTTTAGTGCATTTTCCTCATTGTAAGAATGGAAACAGCTCGTATGTTTATGACTGATCAGGCATCTGTAGCAGACAAATCACATTTAAATATAACGGATGCACGTTTGCTTTGATTTTTATGCGAATTAGGGGAAAAAAGCTTTAAAAAACTATGAAATTTGAGAGAGAAAAAATAATCGATTCTCCTACACTTTTGATTTTTTTGGAATCAGAACTACTGAACCTAACAGGAGATTAAAACACCTTTTAATGAAAAAAGATAAATTACAGCTTTCCTGACTGAAAACACTTCTTTATTTTTCTCACAGATGGCCTAAGTTTTGTTTGTTCCTCTTCTTTTTCTTCTGTGAGGTTTTTGAAGGGATTTGAAAAACACAAGCGGCTTTGTTTCCGGCTTCTTCTCCTCTTTTTATTGCACCCAGGTGGCCGATAGCGCCACCTTCTGACCACACATTAGTTTATTTACTCTCAGGAAGTTCATGGAGACGATCATAAATCGCATTATATAATATATTTTTGTGACATTTAAAAGTTTGTGTGAACTTATCTGGAAAATGATTTACAATGAAGTCTAGTGCTTCCTGTGTGTTTTCATATACTGTGGGGCATTATTATTAATGACACATTAATAACCAAAATTTCAAATTCAAAATGGAATAAATTAGTTTATCAACCACTCAAGACAATCAAATAAAAATCAACTATTATATATGTATATAATTGTCAATTGTATGATTACTTCCTTGAATACTCAAAAAATAAATCTAAATACATATATATTTTCAAATGTCATAAATTGGTATCACCTAAACATATTCAGTTTATTGTCATAGAGAAGGAAGGAAACCAGAAAATGTTCACAATTAAGAAGCTCCAATCAAAGAATTAATATTATTATTTTCTTAGATAATGACTCAACCCGACTGATGATGAAAATAGTTGGAAATTCAATTAATAGTTGACAAGTAATCGATTAATTATTAAAGATGTGCTATCAAGTTCCCAGAAACTGATTGACATAATTACATGAACACCACATGGGATTTTAAAAAATTGCAAAAATGCAATACATCTAAAAATTAACCCCCCCAAAAAAGAGCAGAGACTTTGCAGGTTTGTAGTGTTTACTGCTGTTTAAATCCCCATCACTGCCTGCATCACCTTTAATATGTGTATTTTATGGCCCGTTTTGTCTGCCACAGATGCTAAAATGCAGTGACAATAACATTCTTTCCATCTGCACCTGCCCTGTGCTGTTGTGTTTGTATTTTAGGGCCTTCGGGATCAACTTAGTCACAGCGTTTCTACGAGATTTAACAAGAAAATGCTGACATATGTGGTGTTCAAAAACTTGTGTCTCTCACAAACCAGGAAATGGGGGGAGAAAAAAAATCACCTCGTTTAAGATCAACGGAGCTGGAAACTAGCGTTAGCACAGCTGTATAGATGTATAATAGAGCTGCCAAACACAGTGTTAAGACAGGTTAAAAACGTAAATACCAGGTTCTAGGAAGCAGAAGCCAAACAAAATGCAGCCTCGCTTTACGTCAATGGCTGCTGCTGCTAGCATGACCCATCCCCCACTGCACACCGCGGAGCAGCACTTTCACAGCCCGCCGTACTAAATGAATAAATACACCCACAGCTTACATTTTACACATCCCCCCTGTTAATTACACAATAAACCCGCGTCCAGGTGTTAAACCGGGGCCGGTGGGGTCGCCGTGAGGAGCGGCGGGGAGCTGCCGGCCCTCACTGCCGCATGCTTTGTCTTTTCAGCATCAGAGCCACCGAGCGACAATGAGGCCATTTTGCGCTAGTAGCTAACAGCTAGCCGGCTAGCTAAACTACGGGTGTGAGTTGATGCTCAACGGGCCGCCGCTAAGCTAGCTGGGCTAAAAAATAAAAAAACAAAAATGTTCACCGAAACGGAAAACCCACTAAACGGCATATATGTGGCCCCCGTTTTTTGGCAGCTTCCTCTTACTAAAAAAAAAGAAACGACATGCTAGCGGGCTAATTAGCTAACAGCGCCCACCCACCCGTCCTCCGCGGTCCTTCCTCCTTTCTAGCCAAAAACAAGAGTTTTTCGCCGCGGCGGGGCTGTTAAGTTCCCCAAAAAAACAACTCGCCCCGGTGCCCGGTTTTAAAAGCCTATCTGCGGGCGGCCGGGCGGCCGTACTCACCTCGTGTTTGTGTTATTTTATTCCCGTCTCGGTCATAGGATCGACGGCAGGGAAAGCGGAGATCAGGTTCAGATGAGATCATTCATGCCACGGCTTCAAAAACTGAGCTACCTCTGTCCTGCTGCTGCTGCGGAGCGGACGGCAGGAGGAAGGCAGCGGGAGGGGGAGGGGAGCCGCCGACAGCCAGCCATATGCTGGGATTCCTCTCTAATGATTCCTGCCTGCTTCTCTCCGCCGCTAATGCTTCGACAAACAAGAGGCAGCCAGAGGTTTGGGCTGCAACAACAAGGAATTAAAACATCCGCCGGTGTTGTTGTGCGTTGAGCATCATCTTGTGCATTTACAGACTCTCACCGCCAAAGAGCAGAACAAACTAAAGTCACTGCATCCATCCACCAAACACTGTTTTTAACAATTACATAGTTGTAATTTACTATATTTACTTTATATTTCTACTCTAAATAGTAGTCTTTTAACACTTCTATATATAAACTGCTTTTTTAATCATGTGCACTTATTTATTTTTATATACATTTGTTTTTAGTGATTGCTGCTGCTCTTACCTTTTTCTTGATTGTCTTTATTTTTTCCTACATATAAGAGAAAACGCACAATGAATGGCAATTTTATTCTAATTTTAGTTGCTTTATGCAAAAAATAATCACCAAACAAACATTATAGATTAATATAAAGCAGTTAAATTACCTCTCAACTTACATCCGTGCACTGACACTTTGTATTGCACCATTATAGGTGAACATTTTAATCACTGTGAAAGAAATTCTTGCATAAACACAAGTTTTTAAGTTGATTGTTTGAATTAGTTTTTAAAAATACATTTTTCGGCGTCCTACTCGATGACCATAACTTTGAAAACAGGTTTTTAAGTTGATAACTGTTTATTAAGTTGCCTCAGTGAGATGTTCTTCAGCAGTTTTTAGCTTTTTTAAGATAAGATCTAAGATAAGAACTTGACTCACAGTGAAGGAAATTCACGCGTCAGACAGAAAAGTGAGGTCACATGAGAAGAGAAAAGCAGTAATATCCAAGTACAGGACATACCTATGAATAAGAGAGCTAAAATTACATTAGAATAGAAAAGTAAGAGTGTGTAGTAAAGTAATATTGGACATTATAATAACATATTGCATGAGAAATTAAAATATTACACTTTTATGAAGCTGATATTGTCCTATTATCATCTCTGTGCCTTCATGCTGTGTATAAATACACAGAGGTGACCAACTAAGCAGTATTTTATTAATATTCTTACAAAAGAGCATCAATCAAGCACGACTTTAATTTGACAGCTTTAGCTACTGCGGAGATTTAGTTCAATAATACGAAATATAATCACCTGAAAATGTTATTTTAATTTCATAATAAACATTATTGATTGCTGAGGGGAAATTGCGAAGCTGTACGGCAGATACGAAGTAGTTAAATTACCTTTACTTAACCTGACAACTTACATCTGCGCACGTTATATTGCACCATTATACGATAAGATAATGATGCTGCACATGCTAATAAAAATGGCACATAAAGTTGAAATATTACGATATTATGAATCTAATATATTACCATCACCGTGTCTCCCGTTTCTACTGAGTCCAGAGGTCAGCAGCTAATTCAGTTGGACTTCCACAGACACGTTTATTTTTGAACAATAGTATTAATTCTCAGTAGTTTGTTAGAAATCAGATCTTCTCATCTCTACGGATGGAGGCTTTGTCATCCACACATCCAACAAAGCTGTTAAAATACTCTTTTATGAGTAAAAGTAGCGCAATGAAAATATTACTCAAGCAAAAGTACACACAATTATTACAACAATGTACCTGTCAGAGCAAATACAGCCGGGTTAGTGGAAAATTTTAAATATTTGCGTTTACAGATTGTTGTCTCTAATCTGTTTTCTAGAACGTACTACTCAGATGTTCTAAAAAATACGTCGACATTTAGAAGCAGGCAGCCAAAGTGTTTGTTTGTGTGTAAGAGGTCAGAACAAACTCGATGTTGTTGAAACCAAGAGTGTCTCCGAGTGTGACTCCCACGCAGACCGGCCGGTTTGTTTCTACGTCACAGCCAGAAAAACAGGTCCGACCCAGGCGCCTGTAAACCTCCGGACGTCCGCTGTCAATTTAGTCTGAAAGGAAACACAGCAAAATCTGCGAATTACATCTAAAATGAAGCAATGAGAGAAAGTAAGCAGACTGTTTTTTTCAGCGTGTCTAAATTTGTGAGTTGTTTTTAAACTTGGTTCTGGCTTTTCTTCTTGAAGGAGACGATAAAATATGAGTGGAAAGAATTATATAACTTTATTCATTTCACATGTTAAAGGAAATTATTCTGAGCATAAGTAGCACTGGTCTTCTTTGTGGCTTTGAACACAGCGCTGAGCTCGTCTGTGTTTCCTGTTAATTAATCTACATGAGCCACATTACATGGAGGTGCATTCTTGAAAACCCTTTATTCACACAGTAAGTAGCTCATTTACTGTACTCAATGTGAAATATGGTCTGAAAAATCTAAAAAGAAGTCCTGAAAAAGTATGAAATTCTAAAATAGTAAACGTGTAGGTGCATTCTACTTATAAAAATGTGCTTTCAGATGTTTATTCAGTGTGCAATGTGCCGTGTTAAGTGTAAAATATTCATTTAAAGGCACATGTGAAGGAGCAAAAGGTGCAATAATTCCTTTTAAGAGCAGAAGCATAACGTGGCTTTAAATGGAAATACCCACGTAAAGTACCTGGAACTTGTACCTAAAGGCCCCGTATGGTGAAAATCCCTTTTTACTGTGTTTTGTTGCTGTTTTTAAATCAGAAAAACTGTTAAGATGTGAAGACATTTACTTTTGACTGGGTGAAAACAAAAGGAGGAACCTCAGGACGAAAGCTTTGGAGAAACACATTGGAAGACTTCGTTCTTATCTTGAATTAATAATCTGTCGGGTCTCTACAGGTTTTAATCTGGGTGAGGAAAGCGACTCGAATGACGAGAATGTGGTCAGATCTGACAGACCACATCGGCAGCAGCTGAGTTCACGTTACGTTCAGATGTCAGCCGCAGACATCCAGGTGTCGGTTTAATGTGTTCACACTCATCAGACTACAAATATGAAATCCCCTACGAAACAGAGTCCAATGAGACGAACTTCACATCGAGTCTCGTGGTGTAAATACTTCTCACTAGCAGCACATTAGCTACTATAGTTCCTTTAGAAGAAGAGTGTGAGCACACCAGATTAGTAGCTTTGGTCTTTTTCTGTCATTTGAGCTCACACTCAGTTTTCACACTAAAAGCCCCAAAACCTCTTTCACACTTGCATTTTTTAAAACTTTAATCTGACAGCATCTGAGCAGCTTCATGTCTGAACGAGGATCCTCTTCCACTCTAGTGACAGTAAACTGGATGTAGCATCAGTTTAGTCTGAACTATGTGAAGTCACATTAACAGATGTGATGAGCAGCAAGGTCTCAGAGAAGAAAGTCGATCAGGTGAGCAGCAATGTCACAGAAACAGCTCACAAACAATGTTTCCACGCTTTAAAACTGAGATTTTGGGGTTTTTGTATTGAAGAAAAACACCAAAAAAACAAACAAAGATGGTTGCTTTTTTTTTTATTACACCCTTAGAATCAAAAAAAATATTTCCAGTGGTTCCAGTGGGGAACTTGTTGTTTTGTTTGATAGAGATAAAACTTCACACCAACAGACGTTTATCAGAACTAGAATCAACTTTATTGGCCAAGTTTTTAGACACAAACAAGGAATTTCACTTTGGTGAATCTTAGCTCTCTGTATAAGAAATAAAAGAAACAAACTAGAACAATAAAAATAGGCGTGAGAGCAATAAATAGCAGTAATATCAAAAAGTCTTTGGTTGGAATTTTCTCACCACATTTGCAGATTTTACTGTAATAACAGATGGAGACCTGAAGAAACCAGAGTGCTAATTACAAATCAACACAATTAGCAGCACATGCTAACACATAATGGGTGTAAACATGACTGGATGTCAATTTGAATGCTAACGCAGACGACACTGGTGACACCTGATGTGATCACGGTGTTGTAATTTGGTGTTTTGCCCCCCGTGGGCTTGTTTTCAGAGCCTGTAAATTGCAGGTTGATTAAGGATTCAAGCTGCAGAGTGTTTATCTCCTTCCTGAGTTTCCCTGCTGACATGTGCAGCGGCCACCTTCAGAGGCCTGCCAGCAGCGTTTTTAAACGCCCCCCTGAATCTGATTGGTGTAATTATCAGTAATTATCGTCGCTGATGATGCTTATTACCTCCGCCTCTGGAGGTTTTTGTTTTCAGTCACGGTAATTAGCTTAATCTGACGCTCTGTTAACGATGATTTCCGAAACTTTTTACGCCAAACAAAGAACTGAGGAGGTTTTTTACTGCTGATCTGTGATTTGTTACATGCAGAGATTACACTTACGTTTATGCTCTAGAGTTAATGCAACACGGACATAATCCCTCACTGGCTTCCCACCAGGTAACATGTTCAGTACAGACAGCAAGAACTACTCCTTCATTCATTCAAGCTTTAGTCTGAGCTGTACAATCCTGTCATTTCCCTGCTCACTGGAGGAGTGTTTCACTGTGAGGCAGCTTTAGGACATTTAATGACGGTTTATTCTGATTATTGATCAACTGTTTTGGCTAATAATTGTCACACAAATGTGAAAAAAGCCCATCACAGTTCCTCTTGTGGCTGTTTGTCAAGAATGTAAACTCATATTCAAAGAGCCACTGATGCCTCATGGGTGTGTGGCAGGAAGGAAGTCCATTGTCCAAACAAAGTCAGTGCCTTTTTTTATTGGTTTATCTTTCTGATGCAAGAAAGCAAACAAAAGAAGCAAGAATCACGGCATTAAAAAAACCCACAGGCCCTCCCTGTCGACATGCTTATGAAGTGGCCATGGTGCTGCCCTGCATTTACAAAACAAACAAACAGACAAACAATAAACCAGCCAGAATAAGTGAAGCAAACAGAAATGAAACCAATTAAAAAACAAAAAAATCTTACACAAATAGACATCTAACGTAACCAAACAAAGTTTAACTATTAGACAATAAAGTAAGTAAATAGCTCCTCAGTTTCCTCAAAGAGCTTCTCTGGTTAGTTTTTCATCTTGTTAACACGTCCGATGTTCTTTTTCATATATTGAAAGACACAGTCGACCCCATGGCTGAGCATTTCCATCTTAAAACTACAGCTGACAAATACTAGGAGTCAGAGATTAAGAATTTTATGCTTAAACTGAAGGAACTAAGGGGCTGCAAGGTGGTGCGGTGGTTAACACTGTCGCCTCACAGCGAGAAGGTCGCCGGTTGGCGTCCCAGTGAGGACACCCAGGATCTTTCTACGTGGAGTCTCCATGTTCTCCCCGTGCAGCGTGGGTTCTCTCCGGGTTCTCCGGCTTCCTCCCACAGTCCAGAAACATGTTGAGGTTAATTGGTGATTCTAAATTGTCTGTAGGTGTGAATGTGAGTGTGCTTGGTTTCTGTCTCTAAGTGTAGCCCTGTGATAGACTGGTGACCTGTCCAGGTGAACCTGCCTTCACCCTGAGTCTGCTGGGATAGACTCCAGCTCCCGTCGTCAGGATTAAGTGGTGTATAGATGATGGATGGATGAAGGAACTAATTTGTGGCGTTTTCTGTGTCGTTGTTCAGGATCAGCTCGTCGTCATACAGCGCCGGGTAGTTTTTCTCCTTTTTAAGTCGGAAGGAGGAATCGCAGGTGTCTCCTGATGCCTTTGGAGCAGTTGGCAACATTTTGGGGTTTTATCGGTTCGTGTGACCACAGAGACCAAATTCTGAGCAACAGAAAACCAACAATTTGCAACTTTCCAAACATTACTGCCGTCTGCAATGGTGGACGATTACTGCGCAAAAATCTTGTTTACTGATGCATCATGATGTTGACTTTAAACGTGTACAATTGAAACAAGCAATTGTGTTCTTGCTCTTTTTGAAAGAGACTTTATTCAAGGAGTTGTCATGATAAAAAAACAAAAAAAAAAAAAACAAACTACAACTCATAAGTATGTACGAGTTTTTAGGGGTTGAATCAATGATTGGGGAGGAACTTTAAGAACTATTTCATGACCAGTGGCGTTGGTGCTGTCGTAGCCCCGGATCTACTTTTCTGTCATTCCAATCAGACATTAAACCCCTCCAAAATAAGACCAAATCATTAATCAAACACTCAAGCAGCCTACATTTTGGGTCCTCTGTATGTAATTCAGTTAGAAGATTTACCTCAAATACTGCATTTTGTATGCGGTGCTACTAATTCACACAGAACAAGGAGGACATTGTCATTCGGCCAAACATGGACAGAATTTTTGGTAGTTTTCTGTCAGCAGCACAAGATTTGATCTGAACATTATTAGGCTTTTATTTTGGTTTACTGTGTCATAGGACTTTACTAGGAGACATGTTCTCCTCACCTGCACCTCTTCTCCTGGACTGTTTTAAGGCTTCGTCACCCAGATCACTGAGCTCTGCTAACCTATAAAATACACCAATCTGGCAAATCTGGTCCAGCTCAGACGTTTCTGTTACAAGACACACCCTAATGAGTGATTATAGCTATAAATCATCACAAACAAGACTAATTCCAAACCATCGGTGTCAGCAGCATTAACGTGGATCACAGACAAAGCACAGGAAGAAAGTGAGATTACTTTAATTTGCAGAGAGCTGAGTGTGGCACAGTTTACATTGAATGTACTTGTTTAAAATTGTGCAAATATCAGAACTCTATTAGTCACTAATGATATTAATCATCAAAAACCAAGCAAATCTCCACATTTATAAAGCTGGAAACTGGGAATGTTTACCAGATTAACTTAGCATGTCATTTCGACAAAGCAGCCCTTTGGATCAGCCAGTAAATATATTTTATATTTAGCTCCAGGAGTAATGCACTTTGTGTCAAATTATCTTTTTAGTGCTAAATAGAGCTATTAGTCAGCTAATTAGCTATTAAGTCAACTATTTTGGTATTTATTACTTTGTTTTGGGTAATTTTTCAAGAAAAAAATGTCTTAATTCTCAGATCTCTCACCATTTTCTGACATTTTAAAGCCTAAAATCTTAGCGACTAATCAAGAAAACATAGCTGCTTTGATATGACCCATATTTACAATTTCTACAGTTTCACTTCGCAGACGCTTTTATCCAAAGCGACGTACATCTGAGAGCAGATACAACACAAGCAAGGATCTAGTCAGGAGAAAACAATCTAGAAAAGCGCCAGAGAACAAATTCAAGTGTGATAGGGCATTGATGCCAGTAGCAGGCTGTGTGGGAGGTAATAGGATTTTTTTATTTTTTCAGTCTGTAAAGTGTAAAGGTGTTCAGTGAAGAGCTGGTCTTTGGGCTTTTCTTAAAGACTGGGAGGAAGTCAGCAGATTGAACAGAGTTTGGTAACTTGTTCCACCACCAGGAACCTCAGAGGAGAAAAGTCCAGCTATCGACCTCGGGCCTGTTGCAGTGGTTGTATCAGGTGGCTTCTGCTGGTCGAGCGTAGCGAGCAGAGGGAGTGTAAACCTGAATGACAGAGTTCAGGTAGAAGGGAGCTGTTCTCGTTCTAGTTTTGTGGGCAAGTGTCAGAGTTTTGAATTTAATGCAGGCAGCAACTGGAAGCCATCTGGAAGTATTTACACTTTTTAAATTAAATATGACAGCTATCGTCCGTCTATTATTTGACAGAATACACACTGTATCACTTGGAGGGAGATATTTTGGGGCGTTTTGCTGAGTAAGTCGTTATTAGAGCATCGTTTTTGTTAATGACTATTCAGCGTGTGATCAACTGACCCTAGAACTGATTCTCACCGTTTTTCAAACCCGATAACTCAACCTAGTGCAACAACATCATGTCACTTTTTTCTCTACTGTTTTCTTGCTTTTCTTACTGTCATTTTGTAAATTTCCCCTTGTGGGACTAATACAGGATATTCTGTTCTACCCCATATCCACATCTGGACACGTGGAAGGTCTTTACTGTATTTTCATTTTCATCTTTATTGTGCTTTTGTGGCTCTTCTTGTTTCTTACTCTGCTTCGTTTGTAGGTCGCTGCTGTAATGTGTGAATTTCCCCAGTTAGGAGTCATTTAAGTTTATCTTAACAGCAGCAGGGGGAAACAATGCTCACTCATTTTGAAACAGAAAATGAACACAAAGCCACTGTAATTTAAAATATTCATTCAGTTCAATCTATCTGACGTCTAGTATCAGTACAAGAAATTAGTTCTTACCTTCATGAATGCACTTTTCTTTTTGGGTTTGTTGTTTAGTGAAATATGCTCATTGTTTGAGTTGGCTATCTTTGCTTTGATCAATATTTCTTCACCATTTTCTGGATAAACAATTAAAAAATTAACAGTCAAACTGATAAGTATTTGCAGCTTCACTGCTTAAAAATAAAAATCTCACGTGTGTTCCTCAAAGTTCTCCAAAAGTCTTTGCCTCCTCCTGAAGCGGAACCTTTCTTCACAGCACAACTTCCTGGAGAGCTTTTTTTTTTCTTCACCTCGTTACACAAGGTTCCGCTTCTAGCATTTTCCACGGTCGGACTAGAAACGCGGCGGCACCGGCACAGAGCGAGCAGCGGCCAGAGGCTTCTAGAAGCAGCGTGCGGCGGTCAGACACCGGCAGACACAGCCGCTCTCCGCACACACTCTCACACACGTCTACCGCTTTCTTTTTATTTTATCCGGCTCGCAAAATGGCCAAGTGGGGAGAAGGAGACCCTCGCTGGATCGTGGAGGAGAGAGCCGACGCCACTAATGTCAATAACTGGCACTGGTGAGACCCGATGAAAGGACACTGACTGCTAGCTAGCCAGCTAGCCGCTAATGCTAACATCACATATTGAGCTCGTATTAGCATCAAGCTACAGCTCGCGTTTCTGCATTTTAATCACCCGTGGAGGTCTGCTAATGCCCCAGCTCTGTCATTAGACAGCTACAGTAGTCACACGTTTATTATTATTGAACATTTGTCATAAATAGCTGATGTTTGTTATCAGGTTAGCTTCTTTTTGTAGCTAGCTTGCTAAGCTCTAAATGCATGTGTTGAGGTTGTTAGCTGTCAGTTGGTGTGGTTACCGACACCGCTATGTCTGATGCACCACACGTGTGTCGGTGTAATAACATGATTCGTGTTCTGTACTATGGTTAGTTAGCTTTCTGCTGCCGTTGTCTTCCCCCTATAGAACACGTGAGGAAGCCCCTCTGACAACGTGACTTACATGGCACAGTTTACCTAAGGAACATGACATGAATGAACCCAGAGTTTAGCTGCTCTCATAGTCTGCCATGTCGTGAGCACAAAGCAGCTGTTTTGAGGGTTTTCTCCATGGTAACAGAATTTCTGCACCTCATAAATCTGAAGAGTTGCCCCAAGAGACTCAGTAAAGTCACTCGTATGACAATGAAATGGCAATGTGCAATTCACAAAGCTGTCATGCAGTGCATCCGAACCAGGTTTTAAACTGTAATTTCAGTGGTTTTGCAAATGCATGCCGTCCTCCTTATGTGACAGCCACACTTCTGTTGGTATGTCAAGTGGTGAAGCTGCATCACGCGTTTAATCTACTTCACACTGTACACAGTGAGCTAGCTGTTAAAAGAAAATCATATCACAAAATGAAAGTTGAGGCCACAAAGGCGCCTCTGACATTCAGAAAAACCGATTGACAGTTGCTGTCATTCGCACTGTTAACGCTACGTAGAATTGTTTTAATTTAGTTGCACCTCAATTTCAGAATTCAACCTGAAGATAAATTGTGAAACCCATCTTTTAAGAGCTGTTTATCTACAGAAAATGAGGTTTAAATTGACGGTTTCAAATCGAAAGCAATGCAGTTAGCAAAGTCTGCCGTTCAAGATATAGATTATGCACCGTATCTGATGGAGGATTTATTGTTTTATTAGTTCACCTTGATTGCAGAATGCGCTGCGTTGCTTTGACGCTACTGCTGAGCCGGCAAGGACCTGTTTCAGTGTCAGAGACTGTTACGTACATAAAGGTCTTGTTGTTTTCTCTCTGTAATTATTTATTACTTTGTCAACTCGAAACAGTCGCAGCTTTTGTGCTAATGGTTCTATCTGCTCAGCTATTTGTAATAAATACATGCTTGGAGCAGTTTAAGTTCTCATACTTGCATTCGGGCTTAGAGAAGTTAATGTTTTGATGGTGTCTCGTGTAGCAACGATCCATCACATGTTTTCTATCTTTTACACAATAAATATCAAACTGAAGCTTTAAAAAACTGTCATAAAATGCAATATTTATTTCCCCTGATTGTTAAGCCCGAAAACTTTAAACGACATGAAAACTGTGAAGGTTTATAGCATGTCATATCACAGTGTGGTGTTCCTTTGTCTTATTGCCGTTGTCTCTGCTGGGTGTTTCAGGACTGAACGAGACGCAACAAACTGGTCGTCGGACAAATTAAAATCTTTGCTGCTCGGGCTGAATGTGGAGAACGACGAGGGGAGGTGCGAGGTGACGGAGGTCAGCAAAGTGGAAGGAGAGGCGTCGATTAACAACCGCAAAGGGAAACTTATTTTCTTTTATGAATGGAACCTGAAAGCTACTTGGACTGGTGAGTGGAAAACTGCTCGTTTCGCTGTATTTCGTCACCACGCTCTTGCTTGACCAGCCAAATCTTTTCGAAAACAAAAAAAAAGAACAACTTAAGAAATGCATCTGTGAAAAGTACAAGAGAGCAGCTGAGCAGAATTGTGTCTTTTATAAGTACTAAAAATAAAAAAACAGATTTGAGGAGGCTTTGAATCTCTGCTGACACACTTTATTCCCTTTGTTTTGCCAGGAAAGTCAAAAGCAGGAGTCAAATATAAAGGAACTATTGAAGTTCCGAACCTGTCTGATGAGAACGACATGGAGGATCTTGATGTGAGTTTCACCAAAGAGCTTCTGCGTAATGGCTTTAATCTGCGATTAAACCTTGTAGTGACGTCCGTTGTGTGTTTCCAGATTTCTGTATCGCTGAACAAAGACGAACCCGACACACCGCTGACCAACCTGATGAGGACAAAAGGAGCCGAGAAAATCCGCGAAGCGCTGGGAAGTTATGTCGGGTTTTTAAAAACAGGTGAGTGAACCCACTCTCAGGTGTGTTTTTGACATTTTATCGGCAGAAATAAACTAAAAACTAATTTAAATGATTAGAAATACAGATTAGCCATGACAGCGGAGGTGCATCATTTTTACGATTGAATGTTTACGGTGATGAGTTAAAAAAACCATTGCAAGTCTCATTAAATACACATTAGAGAACTTTGGCTAACGATGAAAGCAGGATTTGTTTGCGTAATTTTGATCCTAAACTCTTTGTCTTTGCTTGCTAACTCTGGTGTTTTGTTGTCATGTTATAAAAATATGCAGCGAACAAGAAAAAGTAAAAGTTTTGTCGTTTTTTATGGCAGAGTTCACGCAGGGAATGATCCTGCCCACAGCCAACGGTATGGCCAAGCTGCAGTCCACGTCGCAGTCCAAAGCCAAGGTGGACAAAACTCAGGTCAGTCCGCTTTTTTTTGCATTCTCAGTCGACGCTCTCGTCCCTGATTTATTTACCGTGGCTCTTGTAGCAGATGTTTGCTCACCAGACTTCTCCCCTCGCTTGGAGCAGATTTCCTCCTCGGGCAGCACAGCTGCTCCCATCAACACTGGCGTTAAGATCCCCACCTGTAAATTCAGCATGAGAGAAACGTTCCTCACCTCGCCGCCCGACCTCTACAGGGTCTTTCTCAACCAGGAGGTGAGGTTTACTGCAGCATCCGGAATTGCTCTTGTTTCCCAACCAGGTTTTGTCACAAACGACAGCATTGTGCTAGGAAGCTAGACAAAAACTAAAGCTTCAGGATTTCAACTTTCTTTGCCAACTTAGAATTTCTGCTTCAAACTCTGAGCACATAAAATAGTTCATCATGTGACTCTTCCTCTGCATAAAATTAACCAACCATGTCCCGCCGACTTCTGTCAACAGGTTGTTTTAATGTAGAGCTACAAGAAATAAAACAACCTATCATGTTAAAAAGCGCTGCTAGAGGACAGCTGGTAGAAAACTGTGTGTGATATATGTATTTTGCAGATCAATGCAGCCACAGGTGTAAATTTTAGCCGTTAAACTTCATATATTTGAACAGGATGTTGTATTGAAGTCCACTCAGGTCTGACACTGTCCCCTAATGCAGGATATTCATTTAATTTATGGTAAAATAATGTTGTTGGTTGAATATTCTATATAAAACAGAATAATCAGTC